TTTTGCAAGGCTTCTCTCCTAAGAAGCCCGGCAGACAGGAAGTAACCCCATCGGCCACATCATCCAGGGCAGATGACAGGGTGGGAGGCTCACAGCTTTTGGAAAAGTACCGCTGACAACCAGGAGTTAATCAGGCAGTGACCCCACACCTGGGTGAGGGGAACGAGGTGCGAGCCTGAGAGGAACTCGGCAAGCAAGCTGTCCTCAGCCTTCCGTCCACGGTCACGGTCACGGTCACGGCCACTGCGAGAGGAAATGAGGAGAGGAGGAGGCCAGGGACGGACAGATGCTGTCCACAAAGCGGGACACAACAGGTGCGCTGGGGACAGGAGATGCGAGCCCTGTAATTAAGGCCTCCAGACACCTGTTGTGAGCTTGCCCATTCACATCCCTAGCAGGTGGTTCACACCTCTGAGAAAGGAACTAACCAAAAAGAGGCTCAGATGAGCAGCTCTCCCTCTGTAGCCTGCAGCTGCGGGCCCAGCCTGCCTGACCTGCCGCCCTCAGCTCCCACATGACGGCCCTGACCCTTGGGGACAGCCCTGGGGGCGGGGGGCGGGCTCTACACCAAGAGACACCTGGTCATGCTGCTGCAGAGCTGCATGACCCTGGGCAAACTCCTAAGCCTCTCTGCGCCTCGTGCACCCCGTCCTTACCAGGATTCCATGGAGTCAGGCTCTGCACAGGGGACCCATGTGCTCAGCAAACACCGAGCTCCGCTCTCTATCAGGGACCCGTGGACCCAGCAGCGGAGTGTCTGAGATTCTCGCCTGGGGTGTGTGGGGGGTGCCGTACTAAACGACCACGTGGATGGCCCTCCAAGGGCCCTCCCCGAGGGAGGCTGGGTGGGCCGCGACAGGGGCTGTGGGAGAACAGGACAGGCCAAGCTGCCCTGGCTGGGGGTCGGCACTGAGGCAGTGGGAGCGGGGGCTCAAGGCCTCATCTTTAATAGCAGTAATTCAGTGCCTCAGAGGTAACTGACCACCCGAAGGAAGTACAGTGTTAACAGCTCTACTCTCTGGGTGCGTCCCCTGAGCTGGGTGTCCCGCTGGGTGTCTCACATACACTGACTCGCCTTCACCACCAGGCTGCCTGGCAGGTCTTTATCATTCCCATTTTACAGATGCAGGAGACCGAGGCTCAGGGTCGGGAAGGGACACCCCAGGAAAAGGGGGCAGAGTCTCAGCCCCATGCAGGCCATTGCCGGAAGTGCCCCCTGTGCCATCGCTCTACCTTGCGCGGACCTGAGAACCTGCTCCTCAGCCACAATCCACAGAGATAATCAGTGAGGAGAATGAGGCACGGACGAGCCTCTGCCAAGCGCCTCCCCTCCCCGAGCCTTTCACCACCTGGGGGGCAGGGACGCAGGCACGGTTTTCCATACATCCCTCGGTTTCCACAGATGAGGAAACCGAGGCTGGCCAAGTACCAAACCGCACCCTCACCCCAAACCTCCTGGTCTTTCTGCTGCTTCGCAGAGCCCAGTAGAACATGAAAACTGAGGGCCTCTTGTTCAAAAATGAAGGATTTTCAGATAGACAGTAGGGCATTACATAACTAAGTGTGGGGCCTCGTGGGACTCCCCAGGCCCCGTGCTCACAGGGCCGGCCGTGTTAGCAGGGCTTTCCCCCAGAAAGCTCGGTTGGAGCCGCCTGGTCTCTGGAGTGGTCTCCGGTGCGGGAGGGCTGGGGGGCGGGGCTATCCTCAGGGAAGGGAGAAGCACGCGCGCACACACGTGCTGCAGAGAACTTTCATTCGGCACTGCTGTCAAAGACAGGCTCTCCCGAGAGTCCGACCTGCCCCGAGTTCGAAGCCCGGTGGAGCCACTGCTTTTGTGCTGCTTAATACCCGCAGCCAAGGCTGACATGCACCTGCTCTGTGCCAGGCACTGCGGCAAGTGCTTCCCGTGCATAATCTCACCTACTCCTTTCAGCGCATACGGTGAGGGAGCTGGGTGCCAGCCCGAGCAGCTGATGACCCAGCAGAAGCGGGGCTCCGGGGCTGGTTTGTTCACTTGGAGACGGAGACGATGACGACCGCCCTGCAGGGCTGTTTTGGTAAATGGACATGTAATCATGAAACGCACTTCAGCCCACAGTGCCTGGCACAGAGGGCAGGCCTGAAAACTATGCGTAATGATACTAATAAACATTATCCTCTATTACTCTACCATCATCATAAACACATTATTGTTAGTGCTTTATGCCAGGGGAAACTGAGGCCCAGAAAGGGGGTGGCAGAGAGAGAGAGAGAGAGAGAGAGAGAGCGAGCTGCTGTCGCCTAATCTGCTACTGCGTCTGCTCTGACTTTTCTAAAGGGTCAGCCTCGAATCGTGCCAGATGACCCTGCAGACACATGCTGGCGGCCTCCAGGCACACGCCCCCTCACTGGGAAGCGGCCGCCCCGGCTCACAGGCAGCTCCCGTGGGCCGTCTTGAGGACTGGTGCGCCCCCCACAGCCCCGCGTGCACGCCTGCATTTGCCGGGCGCGTCACTGCCTGACTGTCTCTGCCACCCTCCTCCCTGGTCCTTCAGAGACGGTGCACTCCTTGGGAAAGGAGCCCCTGCCTCTCCTGAAACAGCTGTGCACTTGGCGCCCGGCCCAAGGTCCCGAGTGTTACAGGTGACATGCTGGGGTCCACTGAGGTGATATGGGGAACAGTGGCACCCTCCAGACCCTGGGTGAGGACCAGTTCCAAGCAAGGGCTCTGGGTCAGACACTGACATTCAAATCCTAGCTCAGCAGCGTGGTCCCGGCAGGAGGCTTCATGTCCCCAGGTCTCCCGATTCCTTCCGGGTGCAGAAGGGACAAGGGAGTCCGCCCACCCGTTCTTTGCGGGTTGCACAGCAGAGAGCCCAGAGCAGTGAGAGCTCTGCAGATGGAGCTGTCGCTCTGATTACACCCCGTAGGACAAGTCTGTAAAACCTGCCTGGCAAAATGGACCAGACCGGTTCTTCCAAACCCTGAAATCTCCCCCTGGTTCTGACCTTTGCTGGACACTGGCTTTGTCTGAAATCGGTTCTGTGGTTTCTTGGACAAGCTAGTCTCCCTCAGAAAGCTCACAGCGACCCCTGCTGGCCGCCCCTCAGAACTGCCTCAGTCCCTCAGCCCTTCAGCCCGTGAGTACAACAAAGCAAGGTGAGCTCTCCCGGAAGCCTTTCAGTCTGGGGGTTGATGAAAACTCCCAGCAGAACAACGGCAGGGAGAAGAGACACCATGTATAATTATGCTCAGTGGACACTGATTCCTTGTCTTCTCAAAATAAACACAAAACGCAAAATCAAACACAAGTGCTTTCCCTTTCCGGTGCGGTCTTTTGTTCCCTGGATAAGGGGTATCCTAAATAGATTCTGCGGGACCAAGTGAAACTGTTATTTCGACAGGGTACTATTTCCTGATCAACACGTGCTGTTGTTAGCAATTCCATTTTAGTCTGGCAGTTCTTAAATTGAGCTCCTTTTAAAGAGCAGAAACATGTTAAAACAAGCAGACGCCATAGGCTAAGGGTCTGTACCTACCGTGACGATGGCCTTGCCCCCTCCTCTGGACTGGTCTCCGAGCGGCAGGAAAACATCCCCCCAGACTGTGAGCCCACCTCCCCAGGCCGTCCCATGCAAGGGACCCGGGATCACAGCTAAGGCCCTGCCGCCTGGAGCCCCCGTGGGTCGACATCTCTGCTAACCATGTCCATGAAGGAACCGTACAACGGTGTGTGATTTAGAACGGCGGCGGGGGGGGGGCGGGGGGCGGGAGGGGGCGCGTGCGGTGGCGGCGCATGTCTTCTGAGGCAAATCCTCTGAATGGCTCCCCTTCTTAAACCACTGAGTGAGAGCAAAGAGGCAGATCTCATGTAAAGATGCATCTCTCCAGTCTCTGGAATATTGAACTTACCTTTCATACCCACCGTTGACCTTGCAAGCTAAGATGCTAATTGGCCATTTTAATACAGACTTTGCTCTTCATGCCAGAGCAAGACAAACACAGGTTGCATGGATGAGGCCTAGCATGTAGACTCCTTCACGTTCACCCATGTGGGTTTCCAGAACTCTCTTAGTTCCCAGCCAACCCTGAAAGAGCTGTTAGGTTGGGACTAATGCCATCTACCGTTCTGTCCCGAGGGCTATGCAGCACACGCCTGGGGCGTGCCTGGCTTTAAACACTCGTCCCTATGCCATTTCATAAAGGCGTTGCACCCAGGGCCTGGTGCTGGTGACACCTCGCTAATCTGAACCGGGTAGGGTGATGTCCAGCACAGGGATTGCAACCTGGTGGCCCCTGGTCCACAGAGTCTGTCCCGCATAGTGTTTGATTTTAGAAGCGAATGAGTTGCCAGCATATTCCCCCTAAGAATTTGCATTGCCAGTTTCTCTTTCCGCTGGGGAAGAACTGGCCCAATGAAACCCGCATTTCTGCTTGACCTCACTGCGTCAGTCCGCACCCGTCGGCTCCTGCAGGCCCCCTTCCCGCCTGGCTCCAGAGATCTCTGAGCTCTGGCCCCGTGCTAGCAGCTGCTGGACTGCATTCTGTGTAGCTGAGTCGCCCTCCCCTCAAAAGGGGCTCTCCAGAGACTGCCACGCAGACCACCGGTCCCCGGCCCTGGCTGGGCATTACAGTCCCGAGGCCTGGGCCGCACCCTGGCCCAGGGGAATCCAACTTGGGGGTTGGGCCTGAGCAAAGGTGTGTTCGTAAGTCACCTGGTGGTTCAAATGTGCCACCGAGGTGGAGAACCACGGGCTTCAACCAGAGCAGCGACCTGAGCAACAGCAACTTCAGACAGATCAAACCAAGAGCTGATGGGGACAGAGAGGGCCACCCTTCCTCGTCCCACCTCTGGGGAGCAGTGGCTGAGATGCAGGGAGAGAAACCGAAGGCAGCCATCTGTGAAAGACCACGGCGCTGGCCTGCAGTGGGGCCACCGTGGGCCCGGAGGCCGCCTCCGCGGAGGCTCCGGCAGGCTCCCCACGTGCACGCCGTCCCGAGCCCGCACTGGCGCCCCTCACCTGAAGAGCTCGCGGATTTCCCTGCTGTCAGCCTGGAAGGGGATGTTCCGCACCAGAATCTTGGAGGTGGTCTGCTTTCTGGGAACTTGCTTCTTCCGAGCGGACGTCAGGGCTGGCCTGCAGGGTCGGGGAAGGGTTTGGGTCACTCGGGCATCAGCGGCTGCTGCCCCTTCCAGAACCGATGTTCACCTGTGGCTCAGGTGAGGGAGTTAGGGGGCGTGAGTGGGCTGAGGCCATGGGGCAGGAGGCGGTCCCCCCAGGGGAGATGGGCTGCGGCACCTCCGGCCGACGTGTCCCATGCTGGGGTGTCTCCTGCCCCTCACCCAGGGACCCGGTGCCTACTGGTGACCCTGATGAGGGCGAGGCCTATTTCTCTCCAAAGCCAGCATCCTCTGTGGCCTTGCAGGGGCAGAACAGCTCTGGCCTGTGCACGAGCGTTCCTCCTCGCGCGCCCAAGGAGCATCACCCAGTTTCTAGCCGTGGAGATGGACTGGGAGTGAGAGGAGACACCTTTAGCCTGAGGTCTGAGGCCACCCCCAGCACAGCCCCACCTCTCCTCCCCTCCCTGCTCTCTGGGGAGACCTCCTTCTCCACCGAAGCTGGGCGGGGTCAGGGCACAGTGGCGGGTTAGCAACCTGGCAGCAAATGCCAACTCAGCCGCTTAGGATCCTGTGACCAGGGCGAGTTACTAGGCCTCTCTGGCCTCGGTTTCCTCAGCTCCAGGATGGGTCTGACAGGAGAGGACACATCACATGTGGCACAGCACCCACCATGGGATAAACACTTCACAGATGGCAGCTACTACCGCAGCGACTGCCGCTGGGACTCACTTCCTGCCAGTCTGCACCACGCCGCCTCTCGGAGGCCTTCCCTAGCCGTCTCCACTGACCGAGCGGCCCGGCTCTGCTCTTCCTCCTGGCATCAGCACCACCTTGCGCCCCATGGCACTGAATCACATTGCCAGTCTCCGCCTGCCTCTAGGGCTGTGCTGGGCAAGGCGGCGACCACCGGCCACACGCGGGCAGTGAAATCCAAGTGAAAATGGAACAAGTGCAAAACTCAGTTCCTCACTTGCTGGGGCAGCCAGCCTCCAGGATGGCCCCCAGGGACCCCTGCCTCTTGGTACGCAGGCCCTTGTGCGGTACGTGGGACACGCTGCATCAGGGCAAATCTATGTGACCCGCAGAAGGCGGCATGGCAACGGTGTGCGACTTCTGAGACTAGGCCGTGAAAGACAGTGCTGTCTCCTCCCGCTCCCTCTTGGACCGCTCGCCTGCTCTGGGGACAACGGGCTGCCGTGCGGCAAGGACACGGGCCATCCTCGGCGGAGGCACACATGGCAAGGCCCTGAGGCCTCCTGCCACCACCAACGAGGGCGCCGTGCGGGAAGCGGGTCCACCAGCCACACCTGAACCCGAAGGAGACTGCAGCCCTGGTCAATGTCCTGAGGGCACCTGGGGAGTGACCCTGAGCCAGAACTGCCCGGCTACACTGCTCCTGAACTCCTGACCCCCAGGAGCTCTGAGAGGGCAAACTTTTGCTGCTTCGAGTCGTTAAGTCTGGGGATACTTCGTTAGGCAGCAGCAGATAGTACAGCGACACTCGCCCTATTCCAGGTGCTCAAATGCCACCTGCGGCGAGTGGTGTTCCTATCGGACGGCACAGCTGTTGAACAGTGTAGAACACTTCTCTTCATCACTGCAGGAAGTTTTATCAAACACACACCCCTAGATGTAAACTCCATGAGGAAACCCCATGCCCGGCACCTGGAGAGGAATGTCTGGTGCACGGCTGGCTTTCTAGAATTTGGGTTGAATAAAGAACGATGCACGAACACCGGCTGGGAATGGAGGGCATGCAAGGTGCCTTCAGCCCGAATCCCTGGAAACGGGGGATGGAAGAGAAAGATGGCCTCTGCTGGCCGAGTGCCCGGGGCTGGGCCCATGCGGGATGCCAGACACCGACCTCCAGCCGTCACATTTTAATTTCCGGGCACAGCCACATAGCCAAGGTCACACAGTTCCTGGACTCGAACCTCAAGCTGCGGGGCTCCGAGCCTGGGCTCCCACTCTTATACCACAGCTCGGGGACCCCCACTAGGCTTCTAAGGGCTCCTGGAGCGAGCCTGCTTCTCGCCAAGGACGCCCAGCGTGGCACGTCCATGCCAGAGGGGGCTGGGTTCTACAGGAGCATTAAAAACAGAGAGAGAAGGAAGAAACAGCAGGTCAGCTCACCGGCAGCTAATCTGCTCAAGGACCACACAAGTGACCAAGTGGCAGAAAAGTACCGAATAAATATCTTAAACTGGCCCTGGGACTGTTGGAGGTGGTCGCTTCATCACCTGAGGCAGGTAGATGATAATGACAACGGCAGTAACAGCTTATAGCGGCCCGCGTTCTGTGCTGGGCGCTGTTCGAAGCACCTCACGTATATTAGCTCATTTAGACACACACGTAGGTAGAGATGTCGGGACAAAACAAAAATGCTTAAGAAAAAAAAAGCTACTTCAGGAAACTGGGTTTTGAGCAGATTGGTCTGTTGCCAGTTGCCATCTTTAACACCTACTGAATCTCTTTCAAATTAACTGGAGGCGTCTCCGGGCGCTGCTGCCCAGCGCCGCGAAAGAAAACCCCATAAAGCGAAACGTCTGGCTTTTATAGCTTCGCCTGGTTCGGCCAAAGCGCCGGCACGTTGCTAGTGTTCCTTGGTTTATGTACATGGCCAGGGTGAGCTGGACTTGCTTGTTTCTCCTGCCTGTGTCCCCTTTATTATAATGTCTGTGCATTTAACATTTACTCAAAGCACTGGCCTGGGCCCAGTTCATCCGGGAAACGGTGTCGGGTTGGCCAGCGTGACATCATCTTACTTAGGAAGAGGGGCCGAGAGAGAGGAGAAAAGAGGGCCCTCGGGGCACCAGCACCAGAGCACAAAGGACCGGCTCACATCAAAAGGAAGAGAAGGCACCAAAGACTCACTCACTTAGTGGCTCGCTCTGAGATCCTCACTTCCAGCTTGTGGTTGTCCACGATGTGACCCTAAGAAATAAGACAACACAACCTGTCCCTCTGTTCTAGAAATACTCGCCTGTACCCCTGCCCTTCCCCAGAGCGGGCGTCAGCTGATGGAGGGGACGGACATCTTCGGAGAGGGGGACTGACTGTCCGTCCCCAGGAGCATGGGTTAGCTAGAATCCAGGACAGAGGGTGGCTTTTCCTGCAAATGGCTCATGCAGAGCCCGGGCAGCAGCTAGTGGTCACGGAGACCCAGCCCTCCAATGTCCTCCTGAGCCACGAGTGGGCCTTGGCCTCGATGCCACCCGAGGCGCACAGAATTTTCCACCGCGTACCAGCGTTTTCAGGCCACGTGCGCCCCTTTGGTCTGGCCTGCTACAGACGGCTCAGTGTAGTTCGCGTGTGCTTTAAAATAAATTCTCAATCACTGTGGAGTTGCATCTAAGCTAGCCTTCAACGTCGGTCCCTTCAGGCAAAGCCGGTATATTCGCAAAATTACCCTCAAAATCCCTTAAACTGCCTAGAAAATACCCCATGTGGCATTTTGTAGAAACGATCCTTTGTGGTGATGTGCACGTGTGGACGCACGCGGTGAGGGCCCAGAGACGGGGTGCGCAAAGCAGAGCCTTGCGGCGCCCTGACACACGTCGGGGGCGGGCGGGGAGCGACGGGCCGCTGAGCGTGGAGGCTGAAAGCCGGTTAGGTGCATGCACCTCAAGGCCAGGGGGGGTTTCCGTGCCTCTCCGGAAACTGCAAGGAACAGAAGCGCTGCGAAGAGCTGGTGTCCCTGGGGCGGCCTTCCCCTGCAGGCAGGGCAGGAGTGCCCGCTGCGCTCTGAGCAATGCCTGCCCCTCATTGACACCGTCACCCCGCGCCCCCGGGGGCTCCGAGTTTGTGAGCCCTGGCAGAAAGGGAGAGGCTTTCAAACCAAAGGCAGAGGCCCCCACACCCGCATCGTCCTACCCACTCCCAAGCCAGCCTGTTGTGCAGCTGCCTCGTGTCAACGGGAAGGTCAAAATTCTACTAAAACAATTGTGTTGGCCAAGTGCCCAGTCACAGTTTCGATGACCCCCAAGGCCTTTCCCTTGACCAGGGAGCTCTCCTGGGAGAGTCGGTCACTGGGAGGTTCCTACAAGGAAGTGGAGCTCCCCAGGGGGCTGACCCAGCGGGGCGCCCTTCCCACCGGGCCCGGCCCGGCGCACCTCAGGGAGGGAACGAGGCTGGGGGTGCTGTGCAGCCCGCCTCGCCTGGCTGGTAAGCCTGGCCCTGTTGACGCTGTGTGACCGGCACACCACCTGGCCTCACACTGGGCGGTCCCGTGTCCCCTCTGTATGCACACAGACATGCGGCATTCTGCGTACGACTTCCAAGGTCCCCTGGACCCGCTGGAGCCCTGCCATGGACCCCGGGTTCGGAAGCCGGCTCTAGGACCCCATCGGGAGCACCAGCCTGTTCTGTGACGCCCGTCCTGCACGACGAGGACTGGCCCGCGATGGGGAGCAAGTGGGTCCACAGAAAGGTGATGGGCACAGAAGGCCCGGATCCTTGCTGCCTGCCATCCAATGGCCTGGGGATGTGGGGCCTCAGCGAATGGGCGCTGAGACACTGTTTCAAGCCGAGGCCTGGCTCCCGCTGGGGTGCAAACCCCAGGTCATGCGGCTCCCTGCAGCCCCAGTTCCCCTCCCGCTGCTGAGGCCCACGCTGTGCCCTGTGCTCTGGGCCAAGCAGGAGGGCGCTGCTCCTTCCCCGTCTCCGCGGGGCCTGCCGTCCATGTCTACCAGTCCATGTTTACCAACGCCTCAGAGCTCAGCCCCCTGTCCCGCCGGCCCAGCCTCCACCCCGACCCAGGGCCGGCGTCCCCTCCTGCTTCCTGCAGCCCACCCTCCACACAGCAGCTGGAGCCTGTCCTGAGGCAGGAACCAGCCACGCCCCCAGTGTGCCTGTGCTGCACGTCTTCGGAGGACACCTCGCTGCCTGTGTGCCCAATTTCACAGACCCTGAAAGGCCTGCCAGGTCCAGCCCCCACACCTCCCACCCACACCCCGTCCCTGCCCACACTGGCCCCTTCCTGCTCCTTGGACCTAGCAGCTCACTCCTGCCTGAGAGTCACTGCCTTAGGCCCTTTGCACACGCTGGTCCTGCTTCCTAGATGGCTTCCCCTAGACCTTCACATAGCTGACTCCATCCTGTTAACCAGGTGTCAGCTGAGCTGCCACCTCCTCAGAGAAGTGTCCCCGACCACTCAACCTAAAGCAGGCCTTCCCCCATTGCGGTGCCTCGTTTATTTCCACCCGAGCACCTCTCACGCCCCTGTACATTTATTTGGAGGTCCCTCTGCCCATGTCCCCAGGCCTAGCACAGTGCCCAGCATGCACCAGGCCCCTGATAAAGAGGCGTGGCTTAAACGAATGGATCACAGTGACTATGGTGTATTGAGGAAGCTTCTCGGTTCTTCCTGGGCCACAGTCCCCGGGGAACTGGAGAAAGCATGGCCTTATCCACGTTCCTGCTCCGCAGCAGAGGGCTGACGGGACGCCGCCCCACCGCCTGCCTGCCAGTGACTCCGTGGACCCCGTTTGAGAAACCCCTTTACCTGGAGCTGCTTGAGTGCCTTCTGGGCCTGCTCCGGCTTCCTGTACTCCACGAAGCCGAAGCCCATGGACAGCAGCACTCCTGCAGGAGAGCGGTGGGGAGGAAAGCGAAGGGTGAGCACAAGGCCAAGCGCAAGGGTCCCCACGTGCCCCTGGCCCTTGGCTTCATATCCTCATTCCTTCGGACCCTCTTCATTCCCAAATACTTCAGCTCCTGGCTTGCTATTTATTACCAGTCATCTCGAAGAATCAACCAATGAGATTATATAGCCACCACCTGAGGCCTGGCTGACTATTAATTAACAGATGATTGACATGATAATTAACTTCATAATAGAATTCCGCCTCTGGGAGGCAGAGGGAACTAACAGGGATGACCATCACCATGACAAGTGGCAAAACCTCCACCTAGGCAGTCCCCGCTGCCGCCCATCCATAATGCATAAGGTGAATATGTGCACGGAAGTCAAACGCACGAAGGTTTGCTCCCTACAAGCACTTCCGGCCACGCCACCGCATCTGGTCTCTGGCTCGCGGGCATAAACTTGGGAGGGGGAGGGAGATTGCACTGTTTGGGCCTATCTGGTTCCCTAGTTCTAGGCAGTGAGCAGCCAGAGTTCAGGTAGCAGGGAATATCTCAAAAATTTATCAGAAACTTTGGCTTCTCGGCTGCAGACATATGTAACTAGGGGCAGGGGAGTTTTTACAGGACATACACAGAAATAAGGTCTCTAATCACACTTTGCCCTCTGAACATAAAATGTGATGCACACCGCCCCCCATCATTTATTAATTATATTCTCTACTTTTTTCAGAAGTTGACTTAAAGGAGAACTGGCTCAAGTCTGATGGGTCCATGGGAGGCTCAGGTTTGCTCCCTCTGCCTCACTTGGGTCCCCATCTCTGTTCCATCTTGCCTGTGAGAACTGTGCCCCCACCATGGGGACCTGCCTGCTTGCACGTCCACTCACAACCGGGTGTTACAAAACAAGGACCCACTGCAGGGAGAACCCCCATGAGTGGCTCAAGCCCCGCTCTCCGCGGGCCACAGAACTGAGGCTTAGACAGAGCTACTGGCTGACCAGCAGCGCCACCCCGTGGTGACTTTAAATATTTGTTCTTTAGCCGCTGTTTGAGAAACGCTCCTGGAAGAGTCAAGGTCGTGGGTCGGAGGAGTCTGCATAAGGGTGCTATTTAAGAAGCGCATTAAGTCCAAGTCTGTCGCCCCATCACTGACACTGTGCGCGCTCTGCCCTTCTCCTGCCCTGGGGGGGCCGACCCCCTGCAGGTACTCTCTGGGCCCCCCGGCCTGGTCTCCTGACGGGCTGAGCCCCTGGGCAGCCCTGGTCTGAGACGGGCGGGGGGAGGACAGAGGCTGGGACCCTGGTTCCTTCCACAGGCGCCAACGTGTCCCCGCGCTGGTGTGGCTCTGGCTGTGCCTGTGTCTACCTCATGCCCTCAGCGTCCGCTGGTGGCCCTTCTTCTGTGGCTCTGGTCACACCATTCCCCTCCCCACTGCCTTGTGGGCTTAGCGGAGAAAGAGCGTTCTCCTCTGGGACCCTGCGCCTGACATCCCCGTGGGTCCCCTAGGCCCAGCCCCACCCCCTGGCACCTGGCCCTTCAGCACCACCGCCCCTTCACAAGGCCGGCCGAGCAGCTCCTTGGGCCGCAGTGACCCGCACAGACCCAGCCCCACCCACACCCACCCTGTTTCTTTTGAAACCACTTCGTTCTGGCCAGTTTCACACAGAATACCTGCTTTGTTCTTCTTCCTGGAGATGGAGCAGCTCTTCACGACGCCCACTTTGGAAAATACCTGGAAGGGAACGTCAACACGGGTGGTTGGCAGTTCCTGGCTAACCCTGCAGCTGCCGCTGCCGCCGCCGCCAGGCTCTGTTCCCTAAGTGCGTGATGCCAACACCGACTGCGACCTTCGCGTGACGCGCCCCTTCCGCGTATGCGGGTGCCTGCCCCGGCCCCCAGGCTGGTCTGGTGGCCGCTCGGGTCCCTGGATGAGATGTCTACCAGGCAGCCCGGCAGGGAGGTCACGCGGTAAACTACACAGGAGCATGAGGACTGTGTACAGGCAGGACCAGCGTGGTGGCTGCAGGGGTGGGCCGGCCGGCCTTCTCCGCCCGCCCCCAGATCCGTCACTCACCCCCTTCAGCGTCTCCTCGGTGGTATCGAAGTTGAGATTTTTAATGAACAGAGTGCACCCAGGAAGGCTCTCCTCCTCCTCCTCCTCTTCCACCTCCTCCTCTTCCATCTTTGATGAAGAGTTGTCTGCCGCTCCTTCTGTTGCCTCTGCAGCTTCCGCGGTCTCGCTCTCAGGCGCTGGGTCCCCACCAAAAAAACAATCCCCCAAATCCATTAGATGATGTCTACTCTGCCTAAGTCACAGAACCTGCTAGATCAAGGGTTTGCTGCTGTGTGGGACATGTCAGGATGGGACACTAACTCCTAGCCTGGGCTGGGTTTTAGCAGCTTTTGAAGTGGGGTGGGGTGGGGCTGCAGGGTGGGGAGGGGGAGCAGAGAATAGAGAGAGAGAGAGAGACTGTTCTGCCTCCTTCCTGTTTTGAAGAGAAGGGAATAGGAAACGCAGACCAAAGACGATGACCCTTAAAGTGGACTAGCCCGCACCAATTTGAACTTCCAAATAAACGTATGCGAACTAGTTTATAGAACCCCAAGCCTCAGCAAGTTTATTTTTTCTCAAAAAAAAATTAGTCAACTTTCAAACTAAAATGCAACTTTAAAACATTCCAGAAATTACAGAATGGGAGCAAAACATAGGGCATTCTCAATAACCCTTGGGACTAAGGGACCTTACATTCAATGACAATTGACACTGTACACAGCTTCGGAGTGTTTTTATCTACACGTGACAGGTTAAATTCAGTTACGCATAAGAGGTGAACGTGGGGGGAACACACCCACTGTTCATGAACAGGAGGTGAGGAGAGTCATAGTGCCACCAAAGGCTGGAGCGATATGCGGCCACTGAAAATGATGCTCCTGAATGGTGTTCAACAACACAGACAAGTTCACAGGCAGTACGAGTTGCTAAATAGAGAATGATACTCATAACAAAAAATCAGGAGAAAAAGACAGATATCAAACAATACATAATGTAAGCGCCCTCCTGCGCTGTCCACGTGGGAACCGAAACAGAGTCCAAGGCTGACCTGAGCTGTTCACAGACTTCCTCCGTGGGCCTGGAAGGAAGCGTGACAGTTTTTCTTTAAAAAAGAAAAATTATAAATGTTTCAGTTGGTTCTATACTCGAGTACCCTCATTCATATTTTAAATTGTTCAAACAAACGCTCTGACTCTTCCTTAAGAACTCAGGTCCACACGCTGACGCCCTCCCAGAGCTGCAGATGTGCCATGTGCTCTGAACTAGTCGTAATGACTGTAGACACTTCACTGTTCTTCTTAGGCACTAATTCTGCAAGTTGGGCTTGCATCATTTATGCACAATATTTTGGAGTTTGGTAACTTCCATCCTATAATATATACTTTGCATTTGTAATATAGGTAAAATTAGGCAAAAATTAGCAAGTCTGCTTAGTTTTTGTCATGAAATGACTTCTGTTTGAAACACACACACACACACACACACACACACACACACAGAGAAGACTGGAAGGTGGTGCATACTGTGCTCCTCGTCATTTCTAAAGAGTAGGGTTGCAGAGGGTTGTGGTTTCATACTGTCCCCCCTCCCACAACCCCTCCCTCCTCCGAAGGAACAGCATTTCAGAAACAGGAAAGAGCCCACGTGAGGCTGGCGTTAGCAGGGTGGGTGTGCAGCGGCCACGCAGAGCCGGCGGGCCCTGGTGCTGAGGGCCTGAATTTCACCCGAGAGGGCGGGGACAGCGTCCTGGCCCGGAAGGGCCCTGCGGCCTGGATCCGTGCTCAGGTTCCATCACCCTCCCCAGTTTTCCCCGAGTCACATGACTGGGGCCTGGGGCTGGGGACGGATCCCCCTCCACACCCAAACTTCTGAAGCTCCTCCCACATCCTCCAGGAAATCAAACCGCACTCAGCAAGAGGCAGGCATCAGCAAGAGGCAGGCATCGGACTGTGCCCTCACACCCCTCGCCCCCCGCCCCCGGACTGGAGCAGCGGCCCCTGCCTCTCCCTGCAGATCCACGCCCTGTGCCCTGGCTGGCGCAGGCCCTCGGCAGATGGGGACAGCTCTGGTCTCTCTCTCACACCTGCACTCAAATGGCTCAACCTTCTGGGTCCCCCGCAGGGGGCTCCTTGGGGTTCAGATCTGTCCCCACACTCGTGACAAGCTCCAAAGCCCCGCCCTTTCCGATAAAAGCCTACTGCTTGCAAGTCTTAGTGCATCAGCAACAGCTTTGTCATAAAGACCTTTGTCATAGAGCCCTTTTAAGCCATAATGGAACCGGCCACAGCGATAACATTCTGTTGAACATCAGCTGAACAGACAGCTTTCGTCCCTCGCACGTTCTGCCTTGGCGGTGAAGCCCGAACCCAGACTTTCTGCAGGACAGAAAGGAGGAATCCACACAAAGGCGCCTTCCCCAGTTTATTCAACAAGGGACTCTAGGGTGTGGCCTTCTGTACTCAAAACTCAACATTCAAAGCAAAGCAGGGTGCAAAAAGTATTACTAATGGCGGGAGAGCAAAGCTATGCAAAGTAGCTAAGACTTCAGGTTCCGAAGGAGAAATTCAATCAAGACCAACACCATGACCGTCGGCTGGAATATTTCTGCCTCTGGTTCCCCTTGCATTTACCTCTTGGAGATGAAAGGAGTGGGGAGGGAGCTGATCTGACCCCACTGTGCCGGGCGCACGGCTCGATGCTTTAAGTGTGCCATCCCGTCAATGGCCACCGCAGCCACACCGCCCGTGGGTAGCCCAGGGACACCTCTGGAGCCGCTGTATCTGAACCCTCACTCTCAGGCATCTTCAGGTTGGGACAGAGGCTCATAGGAGACTAACAAATAATTTTAAAGAGCAAAGAATGGTGGAGGTGATGGTGACCGAGAGGGCCCATGCCGGTTTTAGGGGCAGCCCCTTCTTGACACCTGCCAACTGCTGTCACGTGGGAAGGTCACCCAGGGTGGTCAGGTGTTCAGATATTTCAAAAGAAGGTGAAAATCCAGAATTTTACTAGAAAACCCATGGCTGAAGAACATTGACGACTAACTCCAAACCAGGCAGTGGTCAGTGCGTGGTGACGAGTGGCCAACAGGGTCTCTGTGCTCTACCCTCCACTTCCAGCCGCAGCCCAGCCTCTGGGCACAGACCCAGCACTCTCCCTTGGCCTCTGCCAGGGGCCTGGACCGCAGGCAGGCCCCAGAGCGGCATTCCCGGCGTGCGCGGCCTCACCGGACACAGCTCGGGGGCCCCGCGGCTCTGAGCATGGCCAGAGCCCCTCCGCTCTGCCCTGCCCGGGGCGCTGGCTGGTCTGCTGCCAAGCGCTTGTTTCAAAGGCCACACAGGTACCTGCCCAGGAAGCGGTGCTGTCTGGGTTTAAGGACAGCACTGAGCTGAGCAATCCCTTCAAAACCAGACGGAGCCCCTTCCCTGGAGGAAGAGCTGCCTTCAGCCCCAGCCCCAGTCCCAGTCCCAGCCCCAGCCCCAGCCCCAGCCCCAGCCCAGCAAGGAGAGGGGACTGGGAGGGCCGCCGGGACCTGTAACCCTGGCTCACCTGCGTCCTCCCACGTCTAATGAATCGACCAGCACCCGTGACCCCAGCACGCGGGAGGAGCATCTGACTGAAACAAGAGGCGCCTGAGCCCGGCCTGGCCTTCCCCTGCCGGCACGAGATGCCCGTCCACTCCCAGCACCCCCTCCTTGCACCTGCAGCACCCCGGGCCGCTGCGAGTCAGCGGGACAAGGGCGCTGCGGTCCTGAGAGGGGCTGAAAAACAGGGGCGCTGGTAAAAAACGAGAGGAGGGTCCATGGCCTACAGGCTGGAGGCAGCACACAGGCTGCGCGGCCCCGTGCCACGGGCCTGACCCCTCTGCCTCGGCCACCCACCTAGGAAGTGGAAACACACCCCCGCTTACACGTATGTGTGCTGCTCCCCCCACCCCGTCCCCCCGCACTCCTCTGGGTTGTCTGGAAATGCAAGTGACTGCCACTCCATCTGCTTGTCGTATCCCTGGTCCAAGGCATCACTGCCTCTAGTCTGGGTGACACAGCGGCCTCCTCACTTGTCCCTGGCCCACCAGCTCCGCCCACTTTGTCCCCCCACCCAATCCGACCGCACAGCCCTCTATTCTTCTGGCCATGCCCCACCCTGCCACGGGGCCTTTGTACCTGCTGCCCCCCACCCCCACCTCGCTGTCCCGTTTCCTCATCTCCCGTCTTCCCAGGCCTGGCTTCTTGTCCGGTCTCAGCTTGGGTGTCCTTGCCTCAGGGCTCTCCCTGTCTGCTCGAGCACCAGGGGTCCCCAGGCCTGGCCACTTGCCATCACAGTCCCCTGGGGTCCACTCTTCAGAGCCCTTACCCTGATCTAAGCCACCTTGTCGGTGTCCCCTGCCATTAAGGGGATAAGGGGAGCTTGTTAAGGATGGGACCAGGCCTGCCTTAGTCAGCGCTGCACCTCCGCCACCTGGTTCCAAAAACACGTGTGGCTGAGGGCTGTGTCCAGCACGTGCGTGTGCCTGGAACATGGCTGCTGCTCCGCAGATGGCACATGGGTAACCGAGAGTCGCAGCTGAGGGCACAGGCCTGGGAGGGAGGCTTTGAGCCACACATCCCGGCTCCGTCAGATGAGCGACCTTGTGTAAGTCACTCACCCTCTCTGTGCTCCCTTCTTTCCACCTGAAAAGAGGGATGGCAACAACGGTGTCCCCATCTGAAGGACAATTACAAGAAAGAACGGTGCCTGGGTCACGCCAACTGCCCTCGCTGCCAGCCAGGCCTCGAGAAACCCGGGGGGAATGTCAGAAATCGGAGTGCTGCAGGTAGGAGAGTCAGCCCGCGTCAGTGGCGGGAGCCCGCGGCCCTCCTCCTCCTCCCTGCAGGGTGGTCTGCCTGCTGCCGGCTTCTGAAAACAGCCAGCGTCACACCAGAGTCTGGGGACCGAGTCCCTGTTGGCCACGCCCCCGGGAAGAGCTTCTGTTCCCTGAGGGACCAGGCCCCTCTACGGCCCACACCTGTGTCCAGAGAAGTGTGTAGACGGCCAAGAAGCAAAGGTCGTTATAAAAGCACTTCTGCTCCTGGCCCCATGTGGGGAGAGCAGAAAGACTAAAGAGAAAAACCGAGGTATTGTGAAACTCAGACAGATGTTTGCCAACGAAATCACCAGGAACCAGCAGCAAAAATGGGAGAAGAAAGGAAGGAAGCAGGGCTGGGCCCCAGCGTGGGGAGAGGTGGGCTGGAGGGGCCCGGAGAACGCGCCTCCACCGCAGCTAGCACAATACAATCCCGTCACGCATCGCCGCATGGGGCCTTATTATAATCAGGCGGCAGAATTTAGCGAGGCTCCCTCCCCTTCCCCGCTCTGGGCGGAAGGCTGACAGCACAGACTGTTATCAGTTGCAAGCAGCTTTTCAGGACCTGCCCCCACGCGGAGCCCCTTATCTGGAGGTGAGGGTCTCGGTTGTGGGGAGATAAAACAGCAGCCCCCTCCCTCAGGACCCGTTCAGAGGATGGGGGCTTTGCAGAAGGGGGTGTGAACAAACGCTCCGTCCACGCCCCTCCTGCTCGCCTTCCTCCGGGGCCAGAGCCGGAGAAAACCCAGGGCGAGGGGGCTGGCTGAGTCCTGTGCGATGGTGATGGGGATGTGTGGAAGCTTCCGGAACAATGTGGAGAGGCTGGGCGTGGGGGAGGAGCGGGTGACAAGGAACAGCGCAGGGGACAGAGGGGACTATGTACGTGATACGCGTTAGAAAAGGAACAAAAAGGGCACACAGAGGTCCTGCAGATGAGCCCTGGGGAGCCCACCTGAGGATAACGCGGGACCAGGCTGGGCCTGAAGCCGGCACAGAGGGCAGGGAATCGGGCCTCCAGGCAGGGCTGTGTCCCCTCCCACCCGCTCCAGGGCCTCCCAGGGCGAGTCCCGGCAGGACCCTGGACAGCAGCCCCAGCACGTGGGGCTGGCGGGGACCAGCCCCTGTGGGATGCTCGCCGCACGGGGACCCCGGGAACACACGGTAGCTGGGCCGCACACCATGGGGCGGACAGCCACCCTCCGCCCTCACGGTTCCCCGTCTGGTGGGGACGGCTGTTACGCAAAGCAGACAAAATAATGTGTGACGAGTGCCACAGGAGGACAGAGCAGAGGGAGGGAGCGAGCAGACACAGGCAGGTGTGTGTGCCCCGTGGCGGCGGCCGCCTGTGGGGATGCGTGTCCTCCCCAGTGGGCAGGAGCAGGCCTTGGCGTGGTGGGGTCCAGGGCCGTGCTCCTGCCAAATCTCTCCTTTAAAGAAGCCCCGGCTCTGGGTCAGGTTCAAGTCTAGCAGGGGACGTGAACGCTGAGGGAGCCGGCGGCTTGGGGGTGAAGGCTACTTAGAACAAACCACAGTGACACGAAGAGGATTCTTTCTGACGAAAGCAGGTTTAGAAGAGACCCTAATCCAACCTGTGGACAAAACTGACTCACACACGGGCTCGGCAGGGGATTGGCAGGGTTTCCACCACTAACCGGCTACTCCGAGGACCAAGGACACTGTCAGAGCCTCGGGGGGGCTCAGGCTGAAGCATCTTCCCTCCTGATGGGAGCGAGGTGTCCAGGCCCGGGCCCCCCAAGCCCTGGCCTCACCGGGCTGGTCCTGCAGCTTTTGCCGATGCAGGTGAGGGGAGAGGGCAGGGAGCAGAGAGGCGTGTGGACCAAGAAGTCTACGCAGGTAAAGGGTCGTTTTTTAATCTGAGAACTTTACCACCTGTGTTTTTAAATTTTTTTTTTTTTTACTGTTAAACACTTTTTAAAAAATGAGAATAATGAAGGTGGTGGAGAGAAGACTCATTTTTTAAAAAAAATTCTCCATTTGATAAACTGGTAGCCTATGGGGGAAGAGGGAGGGGGAGGGATGTCACTGAGGGGCAGAATCTTAGCCCCTGACTAAAAGGGCCATCACAGTCCTTTGAAACTTTTCTAAAGGTCTTGAATTCGAGGTCACAGTCCCCAGACCCAGCGGTTCTCAGCTGGGGCCGGCTGGCTTGCCCCAAGGGGCTTCTGGGAACGCGGGGGCGGTTCGGGTTATCATTACCACTCCTGACACTCCGGGTGGGGTCCAGGAAGGCGGAGTGTCCCACAGGCTGCAGAACCGTCTCCACGAGAAAGAACCACCGTGCCCAGCGCCAAGGGCACCACCCCCTTCCCTTTCCTGCCTTTGCAGCCGTGGCCGCGAGAGGGCGCTGGGCCAGGCCCAGGACCCCGCAGGATGACTGCTCCCTCTGCACCTGCCCTCACCCAGGAGGCAGCCTGGGGGGCATGAGAAAAAAGGCCGTTTTCTCTTGCTGTGTTCTGAATCCCTAGTAACAGGTTCTCGTTTTCTCCCCCTTACAACCTCTGACAAGCTAGAAAGCTGACTGCCCTATGCTGCACACATCAATTTTATGTTTTTTTGTTTTTTTTTTTTTAAGAACATTTCACCAGCCTGTGGAACCCGGGAGCCTGGCACCCAGTGGTCTCCAGGATGAAAGAAGAGCTTCAAACCTAATAAATGTTCCGTGCTGCCCCCACCCCGGCCCCTCACTTCTCGTCCGAGGACGCCCTGACCCCAGGCGCAGCTCTCACCGGTCTCTGGCTCTGCTGCGTCCTTTTCTGCAGGTTCCACGGGCGCGTCCTGGGCTCCTTTCTTCAGGGGGGCTGAGCTGGAGAAGACGCCCACTGGAGCCCACTCCAGGTACAGGGGGACGTGGTGAAACTGCGGGGACAGGGATGGGGAAAAATCAGCGCCTCACACGGCTCAAGAGCCCAAGGTTCCCAGACTGTGAGCGACTTAGCCCGAATGGAGCCCGCCCCTGGGGGGGGGGGGGCGGGGCACGGCCCAGAAGCCTCCGTGCTGCAGCTCGGGGAGAGGCCGCGCATCTGCTGTCACTGGGTGTATTTGTGTCCCCTGGTGGCTTCTCTAACCACAGTATGAACAGCGGGAGAGGGGGCCAGAACCAGCGATGAAATGCAGGCCCTGCAGGGAGAGCAACAGGGCTGCTGGAGACCACGCCCCCCCATGCCGGGGCAGTTAGTTGTTCTTTACAGGGTAAACATACTAATAACATCCGCAAAACATTCGAGTGCCTGCTAAAGAGAAGCTACTTGCAGTGGGTTGAAAGATTCCCCCCCCTGAAAGATATGTCCATGTCCTAACCCCCAGAACCTGTGAACGGAACGTTATTTGTGCGTGTGTGGGGGGGGTCTTTGCAAATGTCATTAGGTGAAGAATCTTAAAGTGAGATCCTCCCAGGTTACATGGGTGGGCCCTCAACCCAGACACAGAAATGGAGAGAAGGAAAAGGCGCAGGAGGCAGGCAGAGCCTGGAGGGCTGTAGCCACCGGCCGCGGCCACTGGGAGCTGGAGGAAGCGAGGAAGGTGCCTCCCTGGAGCCTCCGAAGGAGCAGGGCCCTGCCGACACCCTGATTCCAGACTTCCAGCCTCCAGACTGTGAGAGAATACGTTTCTGCTGTTTTAAGCCACTCAGTTTGTGTAAGTTATGGTGGCCACAGGAAGCTAACACACCAATATTTGCATGTGAGAGTATACACATTTGTTTTCTTTTTTTTACCCAGAAACAGGAGACAGCCGACCTACAGAACTGACTTTCCAATCACTGTAGGTGTAAGATACCGAGGGCGCCAAGAACGGTAGTTTCGCTCACGAGGACGCCTGGAGGCAGGCGGCCGGGCTGCTTCCTGGAGGACAGTTTTGAGGTTCCCTCTGCCCCTCTGCCCCCCAGGTGTTCCAGTGGGTGAATAAAGCCCACAATTACGACCAAGATGATGGTTTCTAGGCGTGGCTCCCACGGGCCAGGCCCGTGCTAAGACTGCCACTGCGTCAGCTCTGGTCACGCCCGGGAAGCAGGTCTCGGGCAGCCCTACCTTGGAATAGGCCAGGTGCCTGAAGGCCTTGCGGGCCTCCAGGGGCTCCAGGAACTCCACGATGGCGGTGACGCCCCCCTCGGGCAGCAGCACACGGCCCAGGCTGCCGAAGCGGCCGAAGACCTCCTGCAGCTCGGCTGCCAAGGTGCCCGCTGGCAGGTTCTTCGCCAGAATCACGGTTTTGCTCCGCTCCGCAGCGGCCTGCAGTGGGGGAGGGGACACACGTTTGGAACAGAGGGAGGGGCCCCGGCCCGGACACCAGCGCTGATCAGTGGCTGCTCCAGACATGGCGCCCCCGGACCTCTGTCACCAGGCACTTCAGAGGCGGGCCCCGCAGACACCACCACCTCAGGCACGTGGCTCCACCCATCAGAGGTGGCTCCATGGAAGGGATAAGGGTAAGGGCTGCTGAGTGGACCCCCTGCATCAAATCCCAGCCCCTCCGCCTTGGAGCCGTGGCGACCCTGCCAGTGCCCTCCGCCCAGGCCGGCAGCGGTGTCTCAGCGCCGAGGGCCCTTTCCAGCCACTGCAGACCTCCTGCTGCCGCGTGTGGCAGGCGACAGGTGCTGGGAGCACCCTGGGCCTTTGGGGGAGTCCCACTGCCAGCCCCAGGCAGGGCTCGGGCTGCCGCTGTGCGTGGGACTGTCCTAAGCTCGCCCTGCACGCATCTCCTGCCCCCGCTCGGCCTCTCTCACCAGTGTCCTCTGCCCGGTCCGCTACTCGCCCTTGAACCTGTCTCAGAGCCCACTTTTGAAGAACTTGAACAGAGACACTAGCCGTGTGGCCTTGAGGAAAGGGCCGAGCTGTGCCTCGGCCCCGCCTAGCCCGGCTTTTCTCGGCCCCGCCCCTGGAGGGGGTGGAAGAGCCCGGCCGGCACAGGCAGAGTGTGCGCACAACAGAAGCTGTGCGTGGGCGTTAGCAAGTGTTTTACTGAAAAGTAATGTTGGCGGGGTACAAGAGAGCCTAAAAATATAATGACAAATTCCCGGCAGAAGGATCACCTGGGCATGAGCCTCATCTCAGCCACCGGCCTAACCTGTAACCCGGAGTCAACTGCTTTCCCTGCGGGCCACCGTTCTCTCATCCGCAAAGTGGGCTAACGGCAAGGCCCACCCTGCGGGCCTCACAGGGTCGCCTCGAGGACTGGGCGAGGCCCGTGGGGTGGAAGCACCTGCAGGTGGGACAGGCTGGGCGCCCCTGGGCTTTTTAGGTGTAAGAGTTGGGGTGCAGACTCTGGGGCCTGCATGCAAATTCGGCTCCACCCTGACTGGCTACGTGACGCAGAACAAGTGGCTTCGCCTCTGTGACTGCGGTCCCTTCTGTGCCACGGGAGCACAACAGGGCTGCCTTCCCGCAGTAGTTGTGAGTGACATGAGCTAAGAAACTCAGAGGGTGCCTTGGCGCGTCCTAATAAATGTTAGCTCTTCATAGTTATTTACCTGTCCATCCACCCACCCACAGACCCCCTATCCATCAACCCCACTTTCCACCCACCCACTCCCTCATCCACCCATCTATCTACCTGTCCCTCTCTGCTAAGCACCCTTTTAAGGCAAAACCGAAGGCTGGTAAACGTGAGGAAGGAGCTGCTTGGGAGTCAGAAGCTGAGGCTGGGTCCAGGCTCCTGCCACAGGCGCTTTGCTGGACTGTTAAGTCACCTCTCTCTTTCTGGGCCTCCGTTTCCTCGTCTGTGAGATGAAGGGGAGGGTGGACCCTCTAGACTTGAACAAACTCAAGAACCCCCACCCGGGGGAGAGAGTGCCTATGCAGGTGCCAACCTCCCCCTGCTTGGATCAGCGGGATGTCTGCCCCCTGCGCCAGGTCTGTATGAAGAAACCGTGGGCTACGAGGCAGCCCTCTTGCACGTGGCCCCTGAGAGACACCATCCAGGCTGCACAGGCCCCTGTCTCCGCCCATGTGATTCTCTTATTTCTTTAAAGACTAAAAATGAACGATAGTCATCACCCTTGCAAGGCCTGATCCTCAAACCCAATAGCCCGTCCCGACCTGAAAGCTCGCCAGTGGCCGGGGGCCTGAGCAGCTGAGCCGAGCCAGGCCGGGCGAACCCACCTGGCTGAAGGAGTCCAGACTGACGCCGTGGTTGATGAGGAAGCGCCGCACTTCTTGGACCAGCTGGGTCTCCCCCAGGGCCACGCGCACGGCCACGCTGCCCTTGGTCTCCTGTGGGAGAGGGGAAAGGAAGAGGCCCCGTTGGCTGTCGGGTAGGCGACGAGCCAGCCCTCCGACCTCCCGGCAGCCTGGGAAGGAGGCTTGGATGCAGAGGGCCCGCCAATGCCCCTCGCCAACCCCGCTGACTTCCTGGCTCTGGCTTCCGTGTCTCTCACATAAGTCAAGGACCCCGGGCCCCTCTCCAGCCTCACCTCCCCTCTCCCTCTACTCCAGTCACTCGGGCCTCTCTGCTGCTCCTCCCAGACGCCAAGCCCACCCCCGCCCCAGCATGGTACCCCCTCCCTGCTCTCTGCCCCTTGCAGTTGACCCAGAGCCAGGGTCGTCAGATGGGCCACTCACTCACATGGTCAAACACTTGGCTCTTGGTGGCGCTGTACTTCTGCGCAATGGCGTCAGCCACGGCGTTGGGGCCCATGAACAGCGTGTTCCAGTTGTGAGAGCTGAGAGGCAGAGACAGAAGAGGGACGTCAGACTGCAGCTGAACGACGCGAATAGTGAGCCTGCCTTTCTAAGTCCCAAAGCCCTCTCCCCCCTCAACTTGCCAGGTGGGCCAAGCGCCCAGGGCCTGAGGTCATGGACAGCAACAGTGCTATTAACAACCCCTAATGCCTGTCAGGCACCCACTCCGTGCCAGGGACTAAGCACTTTGCCTATGGCAACTCATTCAACCAGGAGAATATGGCATAACTAAGGTGTGCCTGTGCAGATGAGGAGACTGGGCTCGGCACGTTACAGACGAGGAGCTGAACCCGCCCCCTGGGGCCAGAAGGCCACAGCGGCTGGGAAAGAGCGGGGCGAGGGCCAGCACCTGGAGCTGTTGGCTTTGTCTCTGGACTCTTTCTTCTTCTTGTAGGAGGATGATCCTGGGGTGCTGGCGTCCTCACTGGCCTCCTTCTTGATGGTGGATGGTAAGACATGCAGCATCCTGCCCTGGAGTGGGAGTGGGGGCGGGGGGGAGTGAAGGCAGGAAGGGGCGGGTGCTCCTACGTCCTGCCCCATGTGTCAGCCTCTCCACCAGTAGGCTGCACCCCAGAAGACGTGGCCTCAATGACCATGTAAGTTACCCTTGAGCCAAAATGGGGGTCTGGCCTCCACAGGGACCTGGCACTGGGGTGCAGGCCATTTGTCATAGCCTCGCAAAGGAAACTGATCAGTTCGTAAGTGCCGCCCTCAGCACCGCCAACTCCTCCTCAGGCCTGGGCCCACCCTGATCCTACATGTGAGGTCTGGCCCGGGGACCACAGAGAGATCAATAAACCACGAATGAAGGCGTGAAAAACAGGGGAAAAGGGGGAGAGGTAGCCTGGGCTGGAAGACTTGCACTAAGCACCGTACTTGGAGACACTGTGGCCATTTATAGGACCACGCTCGAATTCCTTTCTTCCTCTTTCCTCTTTCAAGTGCTTTTTCTCCAGGCGGAGAGCATAGTTATGCACTTAGCAAACACTTTCTGAGAGCCCACTATGTGCTGGGCGCTGTCCGAGATGCTGACAGATCAGTGAAACCAGGGCACACCCTGCCCTGAGGGATCTCTACCCTCTAGTGGCTTCACAGGCCCCTGGGCATGCTTGCTTCGAAACATGGGGTGTGCACACGTGTGCCCACACGCACACGGCCTCTCCCTTATCACCTGGGCCCAGCAGCCCCCGCCTGCCCTGAGCAGTTACCTGGAACACCTGCCCATCCACCTCGGCGTAGGCCTTCACAGCGTGCTCGGGGAACATGAAAGTGACGAAGGCAAAGCCTTTGGGTTTCTTGGTCAGGCTGTCGATGGGGTAGTGCAGCTCGGACAGGGGACCTGCGGACAGGCGAGTGTCAGCATCCGCAGCAGTAACCATAGCCGGGGAGGTCACACCAATTTGCCGGAAGGCAGAGTCCTATTCAGGGCCTCTCGGTCCCGCACCAGGCACACATCTGTGCTCTGATCCTCCACGATGAAGAGCCAGCCTCCGAACGAAAGGGGGAAACGCTCCAAGAGATCCCAGAAGCATCGAGACCTCACCATCATTCTAAACCCTAACCTCCCTGCCTCAACAGCCACGACCATAGAAATACGCCCTGTGTGACCCAGTTAAACTACGGGTCTTCAGTTCATGTCCTATGAAGTAATGACAGCAGCAATGACTACAGCATGAGTAACTCTTGCTATCAAACATGTCTGGATGCTCAGTTTGGAGAGCAAGGCTATTTGGCTGAGGAGTATAGTCATATTCGTACCTGCACAGGTACTGGGCTTCTAGTGCTGAAGCAAGGACTCGGGCTGCCACGGGTATCGCAGAAAAATGCACCAAAAGCTTGGCGGTCCTGAGTTTACAGTGAGAGCTGGGAGAGTGTGGGCTCAGACAGCAAAAGGTGCCTATAATGTGACCGACCGCTTCAAGCGCCGCTAAGTACGTCACGTTGGAATTCTCACAGCCGCTCAGGGATCATTAGCCCCGCTTTATGGATGAGAAAACAAGAGAGGAGCGGAGGGCCCTTAGCCCAAGGGAGGCAAATGGGACTTGAGCCTGGAGGCAGCCCTGCTCTCACGCTCTGGGTGTGCGCCCCTGCCCGAGCCGCGCCCTACCAAATTTGGAGAAGAGCTGCTCCAGGTCCTCCTCAGTGCTGGTGTAGGGCAGGTTTCGTACAAAGAGCCTCCCAGAATCGGCCAGGTCCTCTTCCTCCTCGTTCTCCCCGAGTGTCCGGCCTTGCCAGGGTTTGGCGGCAGTCTTTGGGGGCCCCTTGGCTATGGGCGCGTTCTGTTCCCTGAACACCTCAATGTAGCGGCCACCTGCATGAGGAGAGGAGTCAGGGCTCCGGGGACAGGCCCGGAGCCTGCCCTCCTGCTCTGCCTCTTTCCATCGCTCAGCCCATTGGGTTCCTCCCCATGCTCCCCCTTCACGTCAGTTTACTCTAACTCAGCGGCACAAGGGCAGCGACTTGGGTCGGTTCTGCCGGCTGCTGTCTCCCCGGTGCCTAAAGCAGCTCCCAGCACGCAGCTGACCTTCGATCAAGGTGCAGGAAGGGCATGCATGACTAAACGAACCCCTGCCACCACGCGTACTGGCACCTGTCCTGGTGTCCTTACCCATGTATTCTCTGTTGCATTTCAAAGCTTTCTTCACTTCCTCTTCGCTGCTGAAATCCACAAAGACATACCCTGAGAAAAGAGAATGACAAAGGTCAACTCCGCAGGCCCTGTGGACAGTCACAAGAATCACCCACACTGTGCTAGGTGTTTGGGAGAATCTGAGCAGAAAGTGGGGAAAAACTTCTGTTTGCCAATCCTCCAAAATGCAAGGCTTCCCTCCCGTCAGCGGCTGAGGTCCCTTTGGGCCTGGTTTTACAATGAAGATGCTAGAATGCAGGCGTCAGAAACACAGGTGGCCCCTGCCTCCTTCCTGGCATCACCCACCCTGACCGGGGCCCGTGGTGGCTGCACGGAAGCCTTGCTCAGCACCCGAGGGGCCGTCTCCACAGCCACTGTGCCCGCGAGCCGCAGGCCCCGGAGCCCACGGAAGCAAGCACTGGGAGCCTTCTCCAGCCTTGACCCCACGGGCTCAGCCCGGCGAGGGAACAGAGCAGGTGGCATTCCCCCGTTTCTCCAGACTACGGTGATGCGCCCACGGGCCGTGGCCGAGGGGAGGCAATGCTGTACCGTGGGCCACCACCGTGGGGTCTGGTCTCCACAAGGCTGTTTAGATCCCTCTCTCCCCTGCCCCTAGACGCCCGCCTACCCCACATGCACCCTTCACTCTCTTCCCTCCTCTTCATCTTCTACAGCTGCAGCCAGGCCCCGCCCACTGCTCGTCCTCCCTGCGGGGACTGCAAAAGCCCACCCCCTGGCCCACCTGCCCCCCCAGGGGCCCAGCCCCGGCCCCTGAATCTGACGGTGGCCTCCCCTTGCTTTGAGCCCCCAGGGGGCCCTGCCCCCAGGCTGAAATCCAGTCACCTCTGAGCTCCTGGCCCGGGGCCGCCCCGCCCCCTCCGCAGCTCTTTTGCGGGCATGCCTGTCACTTCTCTAGAGCGTCCAGCTCCAAGGCCTACAATACGGTTCCTCAGTCCTGACAACTCAAGAAAGCTCCCCTTGCCCCGCCCACTCCTGCCCCGCCTTCCGGACCCTAAAGTGTGTCACAGTGGGGGTACCGCCGACGGCTGCCACCATTAACAATAGATCTCAGGGAGGAGGGAGTGTGCGACAGGTGTCCAGCACTGTTCCGCATGGTGTGTGTGTGTGTGTGTGTACGTACGTGTGTGTACGTGTGTGTGTGTGTACGTGTGTGTGTGTGTGTGTGTGTGTGTGAACTCATCGAACCCTCACAGCTACAAGAGCCATGGGCGCCTGCTGCAGAGAGGGATGGCCGGTCAAGGGCCTGCCCGGCGTGCAGGGCTCTCGTGCTCAGAGGTGGGCCGGGCAGGAGATACAGAAACCCGAAGGTGACAGGACCACACCGGGGCAGGAGTCCTTTCTTCCCCGACTCTGGCCCCCGCCGATCCCAGCTGCCTGGCCCGTGCCAGCCTCTTCTCGCTCAGGCCAGCCTGCGTGCCCAGCGCTGCCCGGCGGGCCCTGAGCAGCACCAACTCTGTGGCTGCGGGTCCTGCAGCCCCTGGCCTGGCCTATAAGCAGGCGCAGGCAGGCCCCCACCTCTCCGAGCTCAGATCCTTCCTTCCAACACATTCCCTGCCCCAGGGCGGCCAGGGCCGTGAAGCCCAGGGCGAGGGGCTGGCTGCCCAGAGTGGAGACCTGGGAGAGGGCAGGGAGGGGGCGCATTCTTAGCAAATTGAGAGAGCTGCTGGTCAGCACGGCTGCCCAGGGATTCACGCGGAGAACCCCAGGACCACAGGTGAGCCCGCGGGCGTACATGTAGGCTGAGGGTAAGGCGGGGAGACAAGAGCAATGGTGGGAACTGCACACCGGCTGCCAGAGGCAGGGACAAGAGGCAGACCCTCGCCCCCGGCCGTCTAGCCAACTCAGAGTCACACACGGGAAAAGGAGTAGCTGCCCTTCCAGTGTCTCCCCAGCCACGCGCCCGTCTCCAGCCTTTGCCGTCTGCCACTCCGGCCCCCCGAACACCCCGGGCCTTACCTGTCTTGTTCCCGTGAGCATTTCTCACTATGCGAATGGCCACTGGCTTCAGGGGTGCCAGGAATTCCAGAACATTTTTCTATAAGGAGAAGGAAAGTTTTCCCCCTTTACCAACTCAATAATGAAAGTACAACCCAAATAAAGATGCATGGGCCACATTTCTGAATTCAGAAAGATTACCAGTGTTTCGTCCTTTACAATTTCACTCTTTCCCCTAAATTATACATCATCTCTGTCGTTAAAACTTGGAAAAAATTTGAAAAAAAATTGGAAATGAATATAAATATAAAATGGTGATGTCACCATCAGCATTTTAAAGCATTGTGTCTGATCTCTTCCCCCCAAGTACCTTTTCACATATTTGGTGTTAAACCCGGCTTTTTCCGCTTGTCATAAGAGCATGAATGTGTGTCCACGTCATCTCACGGCAACGAGACACATCACGGTGCTGCTGTGGGTGCCCCCCGGTTTCTGAGCTATGTCTCTATTGTGAACGTGGGCGTGGTTCACACACTTTAAAACTGCACACACAGCGCGTGACACTACAGAGAACCAGCACCGAGAAGCGCCAGCGTCCGGCCGGGCCACCACAGGTCCGCAGAGGCGGCCAACCCAGCCCTGCTTCTTTCCCCAGTGCAACTCCGAGTTTTTAAACAGAGTCAAATGATGAAATTGTTCCCAAAACAATCTTTGTCTCGTTTTTCGGTGTCTACTTATAGGAGGAGACGAGTGTCTGTGTGTCTGTCCGCACTGTCCCACGCCTGTGTCTCTTACTCGATTGCATACGTCTTGAACCTTCATTAGCGTTCTTCTTAGTGATGTAACACATCCTACTTTTTCAAAGTGCCACATTTAGTTAACCAAGTTACCTAATCTCAACTTTTTTAACCTTGACCCTAGAGTATATTGCAGGTAAACTTTCTTTCTGGTTGATACATAAAAGGAATCTTTTCTTCCGTTGTATTTTATCACTTTGTGGAGAGGAAAGAAGTAACTGTTTTGTGTCTTAATTTTGCAAAAGGCCATCTAATGCTTGTTTTTTTGGGCTACAGCATGTGCTTTGCTGCATGGTTGGTATGGAAAGGCTTTTGACCCTAAATTACTAGACAACTCACATGGTCTTGTATAACCCAAATGCATGAGACTCAGAGACTGGTTAAGTTTTCCTTTTTAAAAATTAGTTAACAGAAAGACTATCAATAAAGATGAATCCTTCAAGAGAAAAAAAGAGCGAAAGATGACCGAGCACTTTGCAAAAACAGATACACGTATGATTTACAAAATGTGAAAGAGTGATCGTCCTCACTAATAACTTAAAATATAAAATAAGATGCCATTTTCCTCCTCTCACACTGATGGAAGATTTATGTCCAGGACTCACGGAAATGGACCTGCTCACACTCTGCTGAAGGGAGTATAAACTAGCAGTGCCTCGAGGGGTGCTGCCGTTATACGTTAAACCTGAACAACGTGCACGCGTGCCCGTCCAAACTACAGCCGGGGCCTGGGCTGCCGAAGCCTGGCCTGCAAGCTAAGACTGGTCGTCGCGTTTTAGAAGGGTTATTTAAAAAAAAGGAGCGGGGAGGGGGGGAAGAGGAGGAGAAGAGGAAGGGAAACGACGATGATTATGGCGTGCAATGGAGGGGATGTGGCTGCATGGCGCACAAAGTCTAAAATGTGACCTTTACAGAGAAGAACCTGTTACCCTGAGCGCACAGAAAGCCGATTACACTATTATCTATTAACAGCAAGATATTAGCAGCAACCCCATGCCCCCACCTCAGAGGACAAGGTCACTATGTCACAGTGTGTCCTGAGTAAGGGCTACACACACAAAATCAATTTTGTAGCAGAGCATTCAATAGTCAAAGATATTTATGACCCGTCTTACTGATGAGGGTGGGTTCACCATGGTTCCTACTGTAGGACTTGTTTTTAAAAACAAAGGACAGAAGCCACTGTTTACATACAAAGAAGAAATGTGGAAGGAGAAATACCCAGTATTTGTGAGTGGCTGGCACCAAGGGGGACTTGCGCAAGGAGGGAGATTTTAACAAGTACTCTCTGCTGCAGACGCAGAGTGAGCTGCCTATGGTGCGTGGGCCCATCGGGCCCACTGCCCGTTTGTGTGAACAGTTTCCCAGGCACACAGCCATGCCTATTCATTTACCTGTTGGCCAAGGCCGCCTCTGCCACAGCACAGACTGTGGACCACAAAGCCTGAAACACTGGCTAGCTGGGCCTTTCTTTTCCCCTAGCAGTGGAAGCCTGCCCACCCCTCGCGCACGGGACCCGAGAGTGGAACTGGTCCTTCCCGGGCTCAGAACAGCCACCTGTTTCCTGGCCCGGACCATGCCTGACGTCTTACTCACTGGCCTTTGGGTCCCCGATCCTTTCCAGCTCAGGCCCTCAACTGATCCTGAAGCCCCATGCTGCAGAGGACCCTGGCACCCCGCCTGCATGTCTGACTCCCTGCCCAAGTCCCCGGGGAGTGGCACAAACCTCTGTGACGTTGAACGGGGCTCCCCGCAGCTTCACCGTGTGGGGGGTGGTGGGTTCCCTCTGGGCTGCTGGCTTCTCTGTCTGAGTGATGGCAAAGAACAAACCAATAGGGCACAGTGAGCCCCCCCTTAAGTGACACCTTGTACCCAGACGTCCCAGTGAGCACGCAGAGGCGCGGGCCAGGGGCCCCGCGGGAGGGCAGCAGGCGTGGGCCACAGCCTGAGGTAAGGTGGTGGCGTTTGCCGCCACTGACTCAGGGCTCACTCTGTGCAGGCACCAGGCAAAGCACTTTGCAGACACCACTGTCCTACTGAATCTGCAAAATGATCTTAGAGAAATGATGGGGTCAGGGTCTTTTCTGTAATTCTGGGATTCAAATAGCTCTGAAAACCCCAAATTCCCAGTAACTTCTCTGGCAACAAGACCTGCCCAGACTTGAACGCATTTGCCAGTAAGGCCCGCTCTGACTGAGGGAATTTTGAGTTGACAATTGTCCCACGTAGCGCGAGCAGTCACTTCCGGATTCACTACAGAAATAAATAACCATGTGCCTGACCAGGGGCGCTGCCCCAGGCCCCACTGGGGGGCTGATCGCACAGGGCACCGGGGGTCTCCCCGAAATGTGAAACCTTCCGAGCGCCGGCGCACACTCAGGCACAGAGACTCTGGGAGACGAGGGGACCCAAACAACACAGCAGACTGTCCTGTCTCTAAGCAGAGAGGTCCCAGGTGGGAGATGAGGTAGCTGCCATGGGGGGTCGCACCCAACGTTTCTAATCTGAACTTCAGAGCCCAGCATACCAGGGTCTGAGTCCTGGCTCCTTCACTTCCCAGCGGTGACCTTGTGCCAGTCACTTCCCTCTTGCGGGCTGGAGTTCCCTCCTCGATAAAGCAGGACATGAAGGGTACCTGCCCCCACAACTGTCATGAGAGTCAATGACAAATGACGTGGCAGGTAGTGTACCTGGCACGTAATAAGTGCTCAATTAATTTTATCTACTACCGCTGACTGGGGGCTGACGTCTGTCCACTCTGCCGCTAAACACAAAGTATAGTGACGCTAGCGTCTGCCAGCACCTCCCCACAGAGGGCAGCCAGGCCTCGGCCTGCAGGGAGCGGGGCGAGTGCGCACAGACCTCCCCCTCTGCCCCTGGGTGCCCTGCACACCCCGGGCCTCACGCACCTTGGCTCTGGCCTCCTGTGGCTTCTTGTTCCCAGATGGGGTCCCCTGCTCTGGGCCCTGCCCTGTCTTCTCTTGGTCCCGCTGGGCGGGGGCAGTGCAGGAATCCTCTCCCTCGTCCTCACTCTGTGCATCACTGCTCACGGCTTCATCCTCACTCTCCTCCTCCTCCAAGGAAGACAGCGAGCCGGCCCTCACCACCTTGGATTTCAGGTAATCCATGTCCGACAGCTCCTTCTGCACAGCCGCCTTCGGTGTGGGGCTGTCCCCTCCTGGGAAGACAGGGAGGCTGGGAATTGGCAACGGCCGTGTGCACACCAGCGTCTGGGACGCACAGGGCAGGGCGGTGCCGAGCCCACCACGACCGGGGGCCCCATGCCACGCAGCCCCGGTGAGCCCTCTGATAAATGTCAAATGGGGGCAAACGCTGGAGTTTGGGTATTTTAAGTGCCACATGGTGAGGACTATGTGGTTCCTGCACCAGCCTTGCCCTCATCATTTTTTCTTTCAATTGCAACCTGTGGGGTTTTCTGCCGCTCCTGGGTGAGGGCTTCCAGTGGTTTCTAGGCGCCCCCGGGAAGACAGCGGAGCGCCTGCCCATCCCGCCGGCTGAGCCGACAGCCTTCCCCTCCCGCGCCAGCTCCCCGGGCCATAGCCGCACTGAGCCACGCGGGGCGCCCCCAGGTCTGCGTGTCCTCTGCCCAGCTGTTCCCTCCCCCACAGCCCCTCCTTGCTCTGCAGAGGCTTAACCATGCATAGCATTCCCATCAAATTCATTCTCTTCCTTTAAGCCAAAATTGACTCCCTACTCTCGACCACCCTTAGTCTGGACTGCAACTGCTCGCGTACCCATCCCCCCGCACTACACGGAGAGCACCTTCCGAGGACAGGGGCTCGTCCCCCGCCTCCTCGCGACCTTTGTCAAGCGACACCTCCCCGGAGGCCTTCCCCGGGACCTCTCCTCTCCCCTTCCCTGCCTCCTCTCTGCGGCACTTGTCTTCCTGTATTGTGCTAAGCAGGGGACTAACTCCTTGGTGGTGTCTCTCCCCCAGCTAGGATGACAGCTCCACAGGGGCAGGATCCTTCTGCCTCTTGCTCACTGTTGTGCCCCCAGTGCCTAAAGCCGCGCCTGGCATAGTGTCGGTGCCCAATACTTGAGTGACTGAATGAAGAAGTGACCAAAATCAGTCCAGGTCAATGTTCCTGCTGTTGGGAAAACCAACGGCAACTGCTGTCTGGCACCGAGGGGCCCCCTGCTGGAAAGCGCAGGCCCGGAAGCGTGCGGGAACCATGCGGGAACTCACAGATGCAACGCCCTTACCTCCCGGGTCCTCCCCAGCGCCCTCCTCCTCGCTCTCCTGGCCGGAGTCGGAGTCGAAGTTCAGGTAGTCACTGGCCGGCTTGCTCTTCCCTTTCAAGGGCTCCGCGCCCAAGGCGTCGTTAGCCCACGTGGCTGCCTGTGTCCGCTTCTGGTGGACTGACAGGAACTCCTGGAACTCAGTGTCCTCCTTCAGCTGGCGGCACCGCCGCGGGAAGAAGAGCAGGCTCAGGTCAGGCCCACCCCTCCTGACTGTCGGGAGGGTAAGCGCATCCTCCCAGTTCCCTTCCCTGCATCGGGAGGACCCTGGGGTCAGCTGGGCCAGTCCGGGGCGGGCAGGGTGGACTCTTCACCGGACAAGAAGCCATGGACGTGCCTTCTCCCAGCCGCCCCCAGCCCCCCAGGGCCACACCTGGGGGCCCACTCCCTCGGTCAACAGCACAGACTCACCTTCTCCAGTTCACTTGCTGCCTTTTTCTTCTTGCCCTAGAAACAGAAGGCACAGGCAGGGAGCGTCACTGGGGAAGGGTGAGGGGAGGTGAAACTACTGCTGTGGGAAAGGCTGCCTTCAGGAAAGACAAGAGGGGCCCTCCGGCCCTCCCTCTTCCCACCGCGCTGAGCCCCCAGGGGTCCCCAGCCTGCTGAAACCAGGCTCGAGGGCAGGAGTGACCTTCCACGCACTTTCTTAGCTTCTGCGGGCAGGGAGTCTTTGTCCTCTGGAGGCGGCTCGGACTGGCTTGCTTTCTGGGCATGCTTGCTCCAGGCTCGGGGCTTTGTCGGGTCCCCAAAGGACTTGCAGAACTCCACCTGCGTGGGGGAGAGGGGGCGATGACGGTGGCACCTGCCACTCTGCCCAGCCCGGGTGCCCGACTTCAGCACCTCAGAGCTTGGGCTCTTTAAAAAGACAACTGCCACCGACTAGCTGAGTTGGCTGAAGCAAATTCCTTATCCTCCCCACCCTTGGCTTTGCCCTCTTCAAAGTCACTGTGGTCACTAACACCTTAGAACCCTTCACACCGGGAGTCTCGGTGCTTTGTGAGTACAAGTACATGGAGCCTCCCAACAGCGCTAGGGAGGGACCGTGACTCCCCACCTCTCAGATCAGGGCCCCGAGGCGCAGGGGAGTTAAGTAACTTGCCCCAGTCACCCGGGTAGAGAGCGACAGAATGGAGACCGGAATTCGGGGACTCTGACTCTGTCTGGAGCCTGTGTTCTCTGCCATCCAATCCAAAGGGTGGCACGGAGTAATGGCCCAAGGCGATGCAGAGCTAACGGCTGTCACGTTCCTATAACCACTATGAAGTGCGCTCGACTGGCCCAAGAACAGCTCTCGGGGACTGGGGAGAGCGCGGAGGCACCGTGCGGTGTGGAAGGGCACCGCATGTCACGCCACAGCCGACACCCCTCTCTGGCCCTAAACCCTCCAACACACCCTGAGATGACCTTTGTGAGAGGCGGCCCTGCTGGGGGCCCCAGCGGGTACTTCCTGCCACAGTCAAGGGGACACCAGTCAACCCGCTACTCCCCTGGGGAAGGGGCTGCCACTTTGTCACACCCCTTCGTGTGAACTTTTTAATATAGCTGTTGTTCCAGTTACAATGACGTGTGCTCAATGTACAAAATTCAGACAATAGTGAAAAGCGAAAAAAATTTTTTTTACCCCAATTCCTTCCTGTCACCCAGAGAGCAATTACTATTTTGGCAAAAATGCTTCCACATGGCTCTACGCACTTATAACACACACACAGATGCAGGATGTGATTCTATAAATGGGGTAATGTGATATATACTTGTCCAGTATCTGATTTTTTCCTTCTCAACAAAGTGTTACAAATGTTTTTAACCAAGTCATTAAATGTACATGACTGACAAGGGTGGGACCTCCTCCTCCAGGAAGCTCTCCTGACTTACCACTCACCCCCTAGCAAGGAAAGGGGCCCCTTTTGTTCTTCAGCACTGACCACACTGACTGAAAGCAGCCTGTTTACCTGGTGCCCCCCAACCCCCGTCTGTAGGCTTTGGGCTCCATGAGGATGGGGCTGGGGTACCACATTCTCTCTAAATTCCCGGTATCAAGTGAGCGCTCACTGAGTGCTGGCTGAACAGGTGCGTGAACGAATGATGCAAACAGGTGGTATCACAACATCTGTGAGCTTGTTAGACATGCAAATTCTTAGGTCCCCCTCCCCCAACACACTGAATGAGAAACTCTGAAAAATAGGACCCAGTAAACTGTTTTAACGAGCTCTCCTGGGGACCGGTAGGCATGCAAGATTGAGAACACGCGAGGAACACCAACGACATCACGGTCCAAAGTGGAGAGCAGAGCGAGGGAAAGATCATTTTCGAAAGACGGGTACAGGTGAGACTCATGCCGACTCACCGTGATCCGGGAAGTGTTGATAAAACTCTTGTTGAAATGGTTCAGTGCCTTCTGGGCCTCTTCTTCGGACTTGAAGCCGATGAAGCCGAACTTGCGGAACTTGCCGTCTTTGGTGAACTTGAGGCTGCAGTCCGTGAGCGTGCCGAAGGCTGCGAACAGCTGCCTGAATCGCTCCTCCTTCATCTAGGGCAGAGGGGGTGCCGTGAGGGAGGAGCTGGGAGGCCTCAGAGCCAAGGGGACAGAATGGGCTGGAAATTGGAGGCTGCAGCTTCCCCAAGGGGGACCTTAGACGGGGTGGTGACAGAGTGTGCTTTACAATTAGACCTGGTTCCATCTCTCGCTTGAACACTTACTGGCTGAGTGGCCTTGAGCAAGTCCCCTACCCACTTCATCAACGAGGAAATCAAGACTCAGAACAACTGCAATGGGATCTTCCTCCCCTGTGGGCTGTTAGGATGGAACAATTTTGCTTCTCATTTTATACACTACTGTACTGTTTGAATTTTTAAAATTGTGTCATAGCCTCCCAACCCCCAATCCGTGGGGGGGGGGAGGAGAGGCAGAGAGGTAAGGTTAAAAAACCACAGCAATAAAACAGATGGATTTGTGTCCTCACTCTTTCTAAGAAGAGAGAGTCCCAAGGGGTAGAGTCAGAGTGCGGAAGATCTCTCACAGCATCCAAATGGCACACTTTGGATTTTGGGGATGAGCTTACTAGCAGCAGCGGTGTGGAAAGTTTTCCATACATTCAAAGTTACAGGGAAATAGGTAAGAATGGTGCTCTGCACCCACTCATCTGATACGTCACACATTCATCTCTTTCTTCATTCACTTACTGGGCATGTGTCTACTGAATGCCTATCACTGGCTCTGTGCTGGACTCTAGGGAAACAGGTGCAAGTACTGGATAAATGGTTTAAAGCCCTTCACATCCACTCAGCTGTCTCAGCTAATCCGTCCAGCCCTAAAGCCGGGACTGGGAACTGGATCGCAGGGCCTGAGCCTATTATTCCCATGAGCCTCCCCAAAAGTCCTGAGTGCGAAAAGGCTACCAGTCACGAGTCAACAACAAAATGGGATCGGATGAGAGGGGTTGCGGGAGCAGACATTCGGCACGAGGTGCGGACTGGCATCCCCCCGGGAAGAGTTACCCAGTTGGGGGTCAGGTCTCCACAGGCCAGCTGTGAAGACCTGAGCAATCACTGTCCTTCCCTGGCACTGTCAAGTGAAGATAAACCGAAGATCCTGCTCTTTGGGTTTTCGGATCCGTTTGGAGTCCTGCCACAGAGCCAAACCCCCTCAATTCTCCACAGCTGCCTCCCTACCAACCCCCGGCTGCCTGCTGGTCCTAATTTCAGGTTTCCGGGTCAGGCCCTGCACTCACCCCATTCGGGAGGTTCTTCACGATCAATCGCGACATGGCGCACGGTGCCACTGTTTTGATTCCAGCACTGAGGGACAGCTGAGGAAACCACTTTCACGCTGCAGGTATGGGCGCCGCCATCTTTAGCGAGACAGGCTAGAGTCACGTGCTCCAGACCTAAGCCCGCCCCGGAAGTGGGCGTTACCAAAGTCTGAGCGACCTAAGGAAGTCACAGCCACAAGAGGCGGGCCTAACGCTTGCATTCTGCGCAGGCGCAGGCTGTGTGGCGGTGCCGGATGAGACCAATGCAAAGTCGGCAGGGGGCGCTGGTGTCTAACATAGGCGGAGGTTTGCGGAGGATTCAGCGGCTGTGTGAGGAAATCGTTTTAGACTTTTTTGCTATTTTATGCTATTGAGTCCTAAACCTGAGAATAGAGACAGGATCGGGGATTCTTGCTTCCCTTTTAGAAATGCAGAAACAGGCCCAGAGAGGTTAGCAAGTGCCATGAATCAGTTATTGAATACCACCTGTAACTTTTGGAATGTGTACATTGGAAATAAAACATCCTGGTTTTGCCAGCAAGTAAACTGGGAACCAGAAGAGTAAAGCAGCTTTAGAGGATTATGGGGTGTATTGGTTTCTTCGGCTGCTGTAATAAATTACCAGCACTTTAGAGGCTGAACACAACAGAAATCTCTTCTGTCACAGCTCTGGAGGCCAGAAATCCGAAGGCAAGGTGTCAGCTGGCTGCAAGGCCTTGGAGGGCTCTGGGTGAGAATCACTGCGGGCCCTTTCTGCCCCAGGTGTCCCTGGCGGTAACTCCCATCACTCCGCCCTCCCTCCCTCTTCACCTGGGCTTCTGCCCTCCAGTGTCTGAGCCAATTCTGTCCCTTCCCTTTTCTCTTATTAGGACACTTAATAGGACACCATTGGGTTTAGGGGCCATCTTAAATCTAGAAGGATCTCACCTCGAAACCCTTAATTGTACATGCTGATAAGGTCACTCCAAGGTTCCAGGGATTAAAACATGGTCATATCATTTTTCGGGACACTATTCAATGCACTGCTGGAGGCTTTACTTGCTTTCTACTAAGTTACTCTGAAGATCAAATTTCACTCTCTCAGTGTCAGCTGTTGACTGTCTATTCAGTGCAAACACACATACACATGCAAAAATACACCCTGGAGCCTAAGCCAAGCATCTCAGGAGTCACTGTGTTTCAAAGCCATTTATTTATTCAACAGATATGTACTGATATGTGTAAAACTACTCTTTAGTTACATGACAATTAGGTTTTTGTTTTTGTTTTTTTTTTCCTGAAATGTGTGACCTTGGTCAGGACAGGCTGGAGCAGGCTTTATGAAGCAGCTCTGAGACCTCAGCCTTTTATGAGAGGTCAAGTGTAGGTTGCCCAGCCAGTCCTGGTTTCGTGTTCTTTTATTTTATTATTTTCATGAACTGCCTTTATTAAAATGCGCAACTACACGTAGCGTCCCCTAAAGAAATTCACAAATCAGGAGGTATTAAAAGAAAATGAAATGCTCTTTGCCAATCCGCACATTTCAACGCCAGGCCAAGAAAATATGGTCGCCACATGTCGCGGAAGGAGGGACCATTCCTGGGCCGTCTATGCCCGTGCGTTTAATAACAGCCACGTTATAAGGTTATTAATAGTCTCCTTGCTCTCCTGACTTCCTGTTTTGTCTCCTGTCTCCTTTTCTCTCCCAGCAAACACGATGGGAGGCACCTGCACCCAATGAGGCTGGCCTTTCCGATTATACCTGGGAATTTAAAAAAAAATCCTCCAGGTGTGAGCCAGCCCCGCCCACGGCTGCCTTCACCAGTGGGCCTGCACCTGAGGGAATTCATTGCCTGTCAGGGGAGGGCCAGCCGTGGGGAGGGAGCTGGAAAGGGGCTGAGAGAGACAGGATGCGGAGAGAACACTGAGGTCAATATTCTCCAAGTGAGGAGCCCAGTTAGGGGACAGCGTCAGACAAACCCCAGTGGAGGGCCATCCTCCCAAATCCCTAACCAGAATGCTTCAAAAATACCAAGCTTGCCCAGGCTTAGTGGCTCAGATGGCTGGAGCGTCGTCCCGATTCGTCAAGGTTGCAAGGTTGTAGGTTCGCTCCGTGGTCAGGGCACACACGAGAATCACCTAGTGAGTGCTTAACTCTGTGGAGCCACACATTGGCGCTTCTTTCTCTCCCTTCCTTCTTCTCTCTCCAAAACAAACAGAAAAGAAACCAGATCATCAAAAACAAGGAAAGTCTGAGACCCTGTCATAGCCAAGAGGAACCCAAAGAGATGTGATGACTAAAGGAGACATGGTGTCTTGCGTGGGATCCTGGGACGGCAAGCAGACGTGGGAGAAAACTGGGAGGACGTTGGAAGAGAGCATGGCCTTCAGTTAACGACAAAGTATCACCGTCAGTTCATTGTGCCAAGGGTCATGCTCAAAACAGAGGAAGCTGCGTGTGGCGTCTGTGAAAACTCTAACATCCTCACAACTCTTCTGTAAACCTAAAGTGATTCTACACTAAGGAGCGTATTAAATATTTTTTGAAAAATATTTTGACAATTAAAAGGATGGAGGGCCTCATTACTTATCGATATGGAATAACTGCCAACGTCCATTGCTAAAGGCAGAAAGCAAGGCGCATACACGCGCTTCCTTACTGGGAAAGAAAAAGTCTCTCTGCCCGCCTGCTTGCTGCTAAATGCAGATCGGCAGGCCATATCCTGGCTGCGTTTGCCTGCCGCCCATTTTGCTATGGCTTCCCAGCTAAGAAGAATGTTTTCCGCGTTTTTATTTTTATTTTTTTATTTAATCTTTATTGCATTTTTCCCATTACCGTTTAGTCCCCTCATCCGCACCCCCGCCATCAGCCGCCCCAAGGCTGCCCGCGCCCATGAGTCCTTACTCCTTGTTGCTCAATCCTTTACCTCCTAACCTCCTCCACATTTTTAAATGGTTGTGGGAAAATAGCAAAAGAAAAATGGTGTTTTATGACTCATTAACATGATAGGAAATTCAAATTGCAGTGCTTGTCAATAAAGTTTTATTGGCCCGGAGCCGCACCCACTCATTCGTGCCTCCTCTACAGTTGCTTTGTTGTTGTTTTGGGGAGAACAGTGTTGGGCAGAAGCTGAATGCGTTTCGTCCCTGGCCCTTTGTAGAAAATGCTGGATTTTTCCCTGCACTTGGCTGTCTCGCGGGGAATAAATGAGAAATTGGTAATAGCGTTTTCTCTAGACAATACAGGATTTCTGAGGGGAGGGGCAATTGTTGGGTGTGTGTTTAATTTTGTAAAAACCTAATTCATTTTTTTCCTCCTGTTCCGTAGTTCACAATGCTATTCCTCGTCATATTTCCTTAGACCCCTTTAAAACCTGCTGTGTATCCTCAGTCTTTCTTCATCTTTCATGAGCCTGGTGCTTTTGAAGGATCCCGGCCAACTGGGTTAAGGAGCATCTCTTGGTGGGTTGATCCGATATTTCTGCATGATTTGAGTCAGTTAAATGTGAATTTGTCCCTAACTGGCGCATGGGAACTCTGAACACTTTGTTAAGGAGCTGTCTGCCAGTTTTCTTCTCTGGAAAGCAGTCCCCTTTGTCGCCAATAAGCCATGTGTGGTTTAAGAAATAGTACCAGTATTTAGAAAGAGTCAGAGATAGTCACGGTCCCATCCATTGACGCACAAGGAAACAGAGGCCCAGAAAGAAGAAGATGTGCACTCAAGGTCACACAGTAGAGACCCAATTCAGGTTCTAAGAGGCTCCTTTTGCGCCTCTCTACCTGTGGTCACTCCCAGGAATCAGGAAGTCAGGGCAGCTACGGGAGCTGAAGACCATTGCCCTGACTGTCACCACCTGACACCTTGACTGTGGCCCCAGCATTTCATGGCCCATCACCCCAGAAGCCCCTCAGAAGAGCAGCCCCCTATTCTAAGGCATCTGCAGAAGCATCTCGAGGGATCGCGGTGGCCAGAGTCACTTGAGACAGCAGGCCAGGTGGGCGCCAGCCTCGGCCACACCTGCACGGACATCAGGCAGCTCACCAGTGGCAGATGGTAGCTGAGTCTTGCTGCTCCCCTCCAGGCGCTGCTGGGGACTGAACATCAGAGATGGGGAGGCCCCTCCTGCTTTCGGCAGTGAACCATAAATAGTCACAACGGGAGTCACAAATCATTCATCAAACAGAACGTGGCTGGGGAAAGTGAGGCCCATTCCGAGGAGACAAGCAGACGGAGGTCTCACCCGGGACTCCGGAGGCCCTGTTCAGCCCTGCCGGCTGCCACACTGGCCCTGGGCCCAAGGCATGGCAATCCGGGGGTGAACTGGGAATAAAACCAGAATTGTCCTTCATTTTCTTGTTTTTTTTTTCCAGCTGTGTCACAGGCAGATGCCTCCTTTGCACAAAAGGGCTGCCCACCAAGTCCTGGTCTGAAAAGAAAGTTTATTTCCTCACTTTGACCTTGAGGTCCTTTAAGGGACAGTCACTGGCCGCCACTCCTCCCCCCCAGCCCTGGCCACGCGGGCCACTTCCTGCTTTTCCAGCATGCTGTGGCTGAATTGTGTCCCCTACAGCATACGTTGAAGTCCTTGGAAGCTGTGGATATGAGCTCATTTGGAAACAGGGTCTCTGCCAATGTAACCGGTTGAGGATGTGGAGAGGAGATCATCCTGGATTTAGGGTGAGCCTCAAGTTCAGTGTCTGGTGTCCTTGTAAGGAGGCCACGTGCAAACACAGACACGCAGGGAGAACTCCAGGCAATCATGGAGGCTGGCCTCCAGTGATGCCGCTGCACGCCAAGGGCTGCTGGCGCCCGCCAGAAGCTGGAGGAGCATTCAGAGCCAGCTCTGCCCCGTGAACACCAGAATTTCAGCCTTCCAGGCCCTAGTGCTTTGAGGGGACACGTTTCTGCTGCTCTAAGCCACCCAGATTGTGGTCCTCTCTTACATCAGCCCCAGGAGACTGACCCACCATTTCAGAGCCTCTGCTTGTCCTGAGCTCATCCTTCAACTCCATCTGACCACGCCCAGCTCATGCCCTGGGCCTCAGCTTCAATGCTTCACCCCCAGAAAGAACACCCCAGCCTGTCTCAGGGCCATGCTGATTCTGCCGCTGGACACAGCTTCCATTTCCCCCAGCCACTTGCAATTCCATA